GCCTTGGCCAGTGGCAGGTCCGTCTTGGAGCTGGCTGGCATTGGCTCTGTCGGACATGGCGGAAGCTTCTAGCAGCTTCTCACAGAAGCCACCCCTGTAGCCCCCCCGATACCAAAACCTGGCCACGCAAACCCAATATACCTACCAAAAAAGAGCAGTGTTTTTGAGGAGTAGTACACAAACCAGGGATATTTATAAGTATCAGATGCTATAAATTTTACTCACCTGTGAAATATGGAGAGGGGAGCATAAGGGGCATTGTGTTTACTTTTCTTATAACAGTATTTCTTAAACAGCCAAAGCAGTCTGTATGAGTCTACTCCAGGCACAGTGGATCAATCACCATCTGCCACCAAAACTGATGAATTGTTAGTTGTTCTTCTCTAGACAGTGAAATAAAGTGTTGATCATGTTTTACTGAGAAATCTGCTTTTTTTTTTTTTTTTCAAATTGGCTATAGGTCTGTAAGTATCCTCTGTGATTATTGTCAGATGAGCCACAGACAATATTTGAAGTAACATACTGCGTTCTAGGACAAGACAAGGAAACACAGACTAGTACAACAGTACACCCAAATTCGAACCTCACTTGACACCAGAGTCAGTCTCAATCACATCAGTGAGGGATAAGGGAAGATCTGTAGACAGCAGAGGAAAATGAGTTACTTTATCATGCTACACCGTAATAAAAAGTCATTTTAAAATTTGATAATCTGAAATATGTTATCATCAGGTTTTTGGCACTGATATTTTCCCTGTAGTAAACTATTAGTTGTATATTGTGACTATACAATATTCTTTTTAAATAGGCTTGTTTATTATTTTCAATACTTACAAGTTTCTTACAACTGTTGTTTCAGAAAGGAAACAACACAGTAACAGAACTGGGAGCTTTTTCCATTTTGTTTCCTTTAAAATTTACAGTTGCTTTAGACAAAAATGTATGTATGTTTTGCTAATTTCTGATTTGTCAATGATAAAACAATATCCCATGTAAATTGCAGAAGCTGACAAATTAATTTTTGTGTTTGTATATCAGGCAAATAAATAAATCTTACAGTTTAATTATTTTTCAACCTTGCACATGAGAATGTGATTAGACGGACTACAACTGACACTGATTATCTGAGACGGGATGTTATTAAATCCCTTTGGGGAGCTTTTGAAAGACCCACCACATTTAGAGCAGAGAGCTTTTCTCTGCATTAGCTCATTTATGGAGCAATTACACGGGACTTACTACCAAAAAGATGTCAGGAAAAACACTGAGCAAACAGCTAAAGTGGAATTCACACCCCTCCCCTCTCTGTCAAAACATCTCACAACCTCATAGCCTTAAAATATCTTGTCAAGATTATCTATAGCAAAGCTATTTGCTATATATCAGTAAAAGGTATGAGATAGGTTAGATTAAGACTACATGGAAGAGAGCTGGTAATCAATCTGAAGACAGCAGAGATTTCTCCCTGCTCAAATGGCTTCTTTGCTCCAAAAGCCCCAATTTAATTAATTTTGTGGGCTTGAAAAGCCCAATGTTTTCATTTCTTCCACCTCAGAATTTGCAAATTTTATTTCATTAGAAAACTACTATGGAGGGTTTCTCAGTGAAGTGCAGAGAAATATGCAAAATGCACTGGTTTGAAAAATCTCCACTGGTTCTGGAAAAACCTGTGGCTGAATTCACTGGTTTTTTTCAAAATTAAGATTTCAAAGATGTGATTTTTAGGAGCAGTTTACAATTTTGTACCTAAAAATGTGCAGATACAAAGTGGAGAGCCAGGTAGAGACCATTTTCAAATCTGTATTCCTGCAATGGACTGTTTTCCTGACACCCATAGTTGAGAATGAAAATACATAGTGAAGTACCACAGAACTGGTATGTATTAAATAAGTACACCCCTATTGATTATGAGATTTGCAGTTTGAGAACATCAGAAAAGCTGCAAGAGATATATAATCCAAAGTAATACTGACAGTTCACTGAAGAACTGACAATACTGAGGTATTACAGATTGCAGAGATTTATTCTCACCTCCACTTTGATTTAAAAGCTAATATTGTTGTAAATTCATGTGATGACAACACCTAAACCTCGGGCCATCTCATTTTCTCTGCTGTCCCTGTGTATCTTCACATACTTAATCCAAGTCCAGTACAGAAGAAGTTAAAAGATACTTAAATGTTTCTTCTTTATTCAATGAACAACTCAGTGGGACAACTAGAGTAACATGCTGGAATTCACTTAGTGCTTTTCCTCAGAGTGCCTTAAAGAGCATCATCTTGCTGCCGATAGTTCTTGACATGAAGCCGATCCCAGGGTGGACTTACAACAGTGGCAGGAGACTCAGCAGAGTTCTCCTTTCCCATAAACACTGAGATTCTCTGCTACTCTCCGTAGCACAGTTATTGCTCCTGAAATGCGTTCTGTATGTAAAGATGTGTTCACGGTCCAGAAGGTCCCTACTTTGCAGTACCCACTAGTAATTGGTGGTGAATACTGGAAGGTAGGATTTTCTGCATGTGTAGTGATCACTGACCACAGGGAAAGCTTAGGCAAAAATTCTGGTTCATAAATATGACTATGCTTGAGTGAGGAAAAACTGATCTTTTATTGAGTTTATCCTTCAAGGCCTGTTCTGTTGCATTTCTGATATTGCAAAGGAACACAGCAATACTGTATGAGGTATTCTGCATGGCCAAATACTGTAGTCCTTACTCAGATTTTACTCAGGAAAAACCACCTTTGACTTGAGTGAGAATTTGCTTGACTAAGGACTGAACAGAGTGTTTTGAATCTTACCAGCATTGCTTGATGCTAATGTTGGGCAACATTTCTCATTGCTAATTTGCCTGCCTCGTTGGCCTTCTCCTGGGCTCTGGATCTGCTTTTGCTGTGTGTCATTCATAGCTTATATTGCTAGTTCAGATTGCTTCTCTTTGTGCTTTTCATTTCCAGCAAATATTTTGCAGCTATTGTTCTGCTGCTGGTAGATGTGCATGGAACCTGGTATGTGGAACTTGAACCTCAGCCCAGATTTAATTAACAGCGTTAAACATGTTGTCACTACGGTGCTCAGAAGGAATTTTGCTGACCCTCTTTCAATGAAGCATAAATTTGTTTTATCTGATGTTTTTACAATGCAAAAATATAAGGGCTTGATTCACAAATCTTAAGACCAAATGTTTCTCCAGTAAAATAGATGGAGTAGCACCCATTTACAACCACCATAAGGTCAATTATAAATGTTTATTCTGACCTACAGTAGTCATAGAAGAAAATCACTAAATGTGTGTGCTGTAATATCACCTTGTTTTGTAGTTTTAATACTGCTTTAAAGTAAGATATCCTGAACAATAATTAGTACCAAATTGTGCCATAGCCTACTAATATGCAGCAAATCTAGCTAGGTTATCACTCGTATGTCTGATGAGCCATACCTAGCCATGGTTTATCCTCTATTCATGCTGCAGGGTACGAAATTCCTGGGTGCCAACCTGCCTATGGCAACCTAGAATTCTCCAGGGCAGGCTCGCAAAATCTTCACCTACTCTCTGGGACAGGTAACTAATAAGTGATGTTTTGTGAAGTTATGCTTTCTTTCTAACTTTCTGATGTTTGTAAAAATGTTTCATTTCTTCACGTCAGTCTGTAGTCTCCCATCGTTCAGTTGCGCTATGTTTTCTGAACTAGGGGAATAACAGCAGATCTGTTTATTATAGTACGCTTGATGCTTGTCTCAGCCAAGCCTGTAATAATTGTTATTAACGTGTATAAAAACTGAAAGTTGTTTAAGAAGCTGCAAAATCCACAGCTACCTACTACCAGTTAATATTTTTTTCTGATGGAGTAGTTCTTATAATACAGATGCATTGCATTTCATTGTTGATGCCACAGTTATCTGGGCAGTTCACCCACCTTTCTTATATCGCTGGTATGTATTTATTCTCTCTCCTTTATCAGGTTTACATTAATCTTCGGTCTCCTGAAGTAAGGATTTTTTCAATGATATAGGTACAGAGATGTTGAAAGGATGGAGGAGTTATGACTGACTCTAGATTACATTCCTATGCAGCACATAGTATAAGTTTAAGTAATGACTCATTTTTCCATATTTTGCTTAGATTCTCTTCTACTTTTCTCCTGAATATACTCTTTGTTCTTTGTTGCTTGACTTTATTTCAAGTAGCAGGTGTGTAGAAGAAATGTCGTTCACTGATCCTATAGTTTTCAATGATATATGAAATATTGAAATATATTTCAAAGTAAGAAATTAATTAAATAAAAAAATAAAGACAGGCTAAGCTTTAGATTGCCTTCTTGCAGTCTATTGATTTTCTTTGAATAATATGTGACAATTTTCATCTTAAGAGTGCTGCTAGTGTAGGAAAGACGTAAGTGAGATTCTTTTGGTATTTTTTGGCACAGCCTACACTCTGTGGAGTGAAAAAACCAACAATCTTGGAAAAGTGGTTTGAATTCCTGTTTTTCAGTCCCCTGGGGCTCTGCACATGCACTCTACTCTTACCTGGATTTAGATGAGCCTGATACAAGAATAGCTTTGCTCTGCTGCTTGTCCTTGTTAAAACCACGAGATGACCAGTGAAGCGAAATATAATCAGGGCATATAAGACTGTTTTTCAAAATGTTTGACCCTGATTCCAATTTGATTGAGTATTTGGAAGTCTTTTAAAATTGGAACAAATTCACACAGCCACAGTGTGATCACTGAGTTTGATCTTATGTGGTGTTTTTAAATGGATGCCCGTGGGGAAGTTCAGAGTCTTGGGATGACAATTAGCAGCCTTTCTGTAGGGCTCTCTAAAAAAAATGATCTCTTTTCCTACCATCACTGTCCACTTGTAGCTCTTACTTTCAAAAGAAAATAACCTTACTTTTATGGAGGACAATACCACACTTTATCTCCAAGTTTACCAAAGCTTAAAATGCCACATCCAGGCTTTTAGCTCAGGCTATTTAGCCATTTCATAAAAAAAATAAACAGCCATTGAAAGAGTATTTTCATTTCCCTCCCTGTTTTTTAAAAAGCTCACAAGGATCTAAATTTTTAGGGAGAGTTTAGTATTTCCTGAGAACATGCTTGTTTCTTTCCTGTTGATTAATTGAAATCTTAATCACACTGTTTCAACATATCTAGACTTTAAAATCTGGAAACTTGCTTTCCAATTATATTGAAAAACATCAGCTTGCTGAAGGAACTAAAAAAAAATAATTTGTTTGTGAAAATGAAAGATAGTGAGTATGACAACTGTCAGCACTTACAAAATGAGGATAGATTCTATTTTATCCAGCCTGATGCACCTTAACCTTTAAAAAAACTAATGAGAAAGCAAAAAAATTTCAGCAAGAGAGTTAAAAAAACCAAGTCTCAATTCACCCAGAATGCTAAAGTAGTTCAGTTATAAGGCAAAAAAAATGTGGCCTGTGTTTAGGTAATCCACATCTCAGGGCACAAGAGGAATTTTTTGGGAAAGCCTGTAGTAATGAAGCTGCTTCCTCACTCTGCATGGTTCTTTGGGGTGGTACGTCTGCAGGGCAGGTGGAAGCAGAGGGCTCCTGGGTCCCCTCTGAAGAAGCACGTTATACATTGCTTTTCACATGAATAGTGCAAGCATCTTTTCAGATTAATACCTGCTGCCTAGTTTGGTCCCTCCGCACTTGCAGAAAACTCCTTCATTTACTGGCTCACTCCAAAAACTACAGAAGAGCTAATGCCAAGGTGCTGGACTGCTAACAGGAGTCTGGAGGAATGCAGTCCTGTTCCCTCTCCTTCTCCATACACCCACAAAGAAGGCAACAAAACAGTCTTTCTTACACTGAAAAGACAGTTCAGCTGAGGGAGCAGGATAAAATAGACTTGACTGAACTAATAAATCGTGACATTAGGTTGGGGCAAAGGTTCTAGGAAATGACAGCACAACATGCTGAGCGGTGAGGAACTTGCTAGAGGTGAACTCATTTATACTCTTGCAGAGTAGAAGACTTCTCAGTTAACAAGTCCTAAAATACCGTGCTGCAGTGTATGAAACAAGGTGGGGCTCGAAATAATTAGCCAAAGATGACAGATGGCAATTCCATTCTCTTTTTTTCCTTCTCTTCTTTTGCTGTGATATCAAGTTGATCAAAGAGCTGAGAATCATTCGTTATTGTAGAAAAACTAAAAATATCTTGAAATATTCAGGCAAAATAAGTTCATTCAGATAACAGCCAGTAGCTCTCATTGTTCCTGTTCAACACCTTATACATGAGTCTGTGTGTAGTAATAATTTCCCTCAGAATCTGAATTACATGTGCACAGCTGAGAATTCGGGTGTGTCCAGGCTAAGGAGTATTATTTAATCAATTTATTAATTTATTTAATTTGTTTGCTTGTCCAATGATCTATTCTACTGCCAGAAAACCTTCCAAAAAGTCCCTAGAGCTCACCTCTGTGGCATGTTGCTTTAGTAACGTCATACAGCTGTGTGTGATGGGGGAACTGAATGATAAAGAACAGAGACTGCAGTAGAACTGACCACACCAATGGCTACTGAAAGTGTCTGAGGGGTCCATGCTGTGTCTCACTCTAAGCAACAGCAGCATTATCTCCTATACTCTTTAATAATAATATCTGGCAACCATTGGCATTTTTTTAAAGGCAAGCACCTATGGATTCAAGTTAGAGATACAACAGGAGCTTCTGTCTTGTAGGACTCCTGTCACAAAAGAGGATCAGAATGCAACTGTGACCAGATATAATTAAAAAGAAAATTCAGTAATTTACTCAAAGAAGGTAATATACACTGCTTATAAAGGAAAAAAGCAGTGGCATCTGCAGTTCCTCCTCCGCCCCAGTCCCAGTCCCAGTCCCAGTCCCAGTAGTAATTCTGTCTGACTAGTCCTGGAGCCAAAAAAGTATACTTAATTTTTTCAACTGCTTAGCATAACCTTTCTGATGGGAAGTGTTAAGCCAGCCCACCAAAATGAGTCCCTTGAGCCAGACAAAGATGAATTTCAAATCAGAGGAAAGAGAAAATGATTGGGAAAGGAAGGAAATAGCTAAGGTGAGAACCCAGGTTATAGCCTCTGTCCATCAAACTGTGTCTGGATGCTTTATACCAAATGAAACAGAAACAAAATCCTTTCCCTACTACTAAAGCACATTTCTATAGTAGTCTCCTACCGCACCTCCAACCTCAGTCCTTTAATAGGAAGAGTAAGATAAATTTCAGCTTGCTTCTGGGCAGTGGGTTTCACCCATTCTCATTGCATGTCCTATTACAAATATACAGAACAATTCAGGAGGAACCACATTCTTGTTCCAGCACAGCTTGATCCAGATGAATCAGGAAGGTAAACAGACAAAAGCAGAAGTGAGAAAGGTTTAATAACACAATTAAAATATAACTTTATAAGCTTGTGAGCTGATGTGGCAGGCTGCTTTCAGTAATTTCCAGAGGGAGTGCTTATCCCTGACTACAAACCAAAGCAATCTAGAAGCTGACTACTCAAAGCTGTAAGGAGAGCTGCTGCAACCAAAGGCAGCTTCCTCAATCACCTGGAGAGCTCTCTTTGGCTTCCGAATCATAAATTGAAGTCTACCTCTAATTTGGCTACCTCAATTTCTCAATACCTCACCCTTTCTTTTTTCTCCTTTCTCATCACTGCTTTGTAGTCTGGATTCCCTAGTGAGATGCAGTGCAGACTGCTAGGACTCTGCCAGACATTAAAAAGCAGGCAATGTCTGTTCAACAACTTCAAATCACTTTCTGTGTGAGGCAGCCACCCCGATAGCCTTTGTTACAGCAAGAAGTATTTGTTGCAGTCAGTCTTTTCTGCTGCTTTTCTTATCCTTTCGTACCCTGCAACTTTACATTGTAACTCACCATTTCTTCTAGCCAAATGTTTTATGCGAATATATCGGCCTCTGGAAAGCCAGAAAATAACAGCTCTTACAGAGATGAACCTTCTTCCAGAGTCATGTCAAGAGCAGAGTCTGGGCAGCAAGCAGTGTGAAGACCCCTTCATCCCCAGGAATGGTCAGGGTCGTGATGTCTCTGCTCTCTTGGACAAATGCTGGCTGAAGTTTGCCATGCCAGAATTTAACTCCCTTCTCTCCCAGCTTCACCAGCTGACTCATTTCAGATGTGGTCCAGAGCACTAAGCAACATTTGGACAATGCAGACAATTTGGAGCAGGGCATGAACATGAGCGGAGTCCTCCATTATCATGAGAAAATAAACATACTCTTTCTACCTCTAGAGAATGAGTCAGAAAACATGTATTCCTCCTTGAATTGCATGCTTTTTTTTCTTCTCTTACAACCTTATTTTCAACCTCTTCATCCCTTCATTTTCTAGCAACACAGAAACACAAATTGAACAGGGGCAGTCTTTACATAAACTTCTGTGGGATCCCTTACTGAACCTAACGGTTTGCATTTAAGCCGCTGACTCTAAGAGTCTACCTGCTGGAGCTGAAATCAGTCGATCCCCACAGACTTTAGGGAGAGCCTAACAGAGGCACTAGGAGGCAGCTTGGAAGAAGGCAGAGATCATAACAG